CCGCCTCCTCCTCCTCCTCCTCCTCCTCCTCCTCCTCCTCCTCCTCCTCCTCCTCCTCCTCCTCCTCCTCCTCCTCCTCCCCCCCTCCTCCTCGGAAAAAGGCAGCGGGAGGGCCCCCCAGGGGGGGCGATCTCGAGCGCAGAGCTGGGCCAGGCGGGAGCGCCGCCGTTGCCTCTGCTGGCCCTCCTCCGAGGGCACGGTTCCCTCCTGAGCCCGTTTGGCGACTGAGCCCGCTCGGTCGCCGAGACGAGGAGGAGGAGGAGGAGGAGGAGGAGGAGGAGGAGGTAAGACATCGCCTGCAGCTCGCAGGGCCCATTTCAAGCTCTGCACGTCACCGCGACAACGTGAGACGGGAAAGGTGCTGTCTCGCTAGCCTCGCTCGAAGATGGTCCGTGCGTCCGTCCGTGCGTCCGTGCGCACGCCGCAGCCTCGAGCATCAGAGGCTGTGGAACTGAGGGTGGCGTCATCCAGCCTCGGGAAACGCACAGCACGCTTCCTGTAGGCTTCGGTCGGGCATGTCCCCCTACAGGCAGATTTTGGACGAAAAACAAAACATAGCCCAAAAGTTTCAAATATGTATTGTTCTACCAGGAAAATCGCCACCTGACTATTGTTAAAACTATGTTTGACTATCCCCCCTGTAGAGGGACAGGCCCGACTTAACTGTAGGCGTGGAGGGTCCCCAGATGGCTGGGCAGAGCAGCCAACTCTGAGGGCCTAACGGCCAAGAGCGCTTCGGAGTGCACCTGCCTAGGGCCTGATATGCCAAACTGGGCGGTACAGATCTCGACGGGCCTGGCGGGGGGGATACGGGCGCACGCGACTGGGGGGCCCAGCCGCCTCCCACTCGACGTGGCCTCGTCACGCTCGCACGGGCCCGCATCTGGGCCGGGTTGCAGGGGCGAGGGGCAGGGCGGCAGGAGCAGAGGCAGGTGGGGCAAAGGTGAGAAGGCGACGGGTGTGCAGGTGGGCATGTGGGACGAGGGGCCGGGTTGCAGAGGCGAGAGGTGGAGGGGGCAGGGTTGCAGGGGCGTGGCATCTGGGCCGATGGCCCTCGTTGAGTACCGCGCGCCATTCTGGCTGGCTGCTGCCCTCGAGGGTGTGCCCTGGGTCTGCTCCAAGGGCCACCCGAAGGAAAGCATTGGGCCAATTTTGTGTCTTGGGTGGCCCCGCGGGCCCGCCCCATCCGCGCCAACTGCCCGAGGCAAAGACTCGGGCGGGCGGCGGAGAGCGTGTGATGGGAGGCGGCGGAGGGAGTGTTGCTCCATAGGGGGGGAGAGAACAATTATCCTGTTGGGAGGAAGGGGTTGGGAAGATGAAGGGCACGAGCGATAGCATCCCGAGGTAATGAACGATCCCTTCGGCCGCCTGCGGGCAAGGATATCCTCATGTCTCCCAATCCCATCCTCCCAGCCCGATAGTTGTCTCCCTGGCATGGGGGGGAGGTGGGAAAGGGGGCGAGATGGGCGAGCGGGGATGCGCCAAGCGAGGACGGGGGCAAGACGATGGGGAGGCCGAGACGAGCGGCACTGGAGCGGGAGGGCGTCCTCGGCGTAGGGGCCGTCAGGCTCCAGCACCCCCGCCTCCTCGAGCTCAATCTCGTCGGGCTCCAGGCCTCCCAGCCCTGGCTCCTCTGGGGCAGGACCGGCCAGGGCCGGAGGAGCGGCCAAGCAGCCTTTCGGAGCAGGAGGGGGAGGCCTCCCCCTCCTCCCCCTCGACCTCCCCCTCCACATCCGCTACACACTTGCACATCATGAGCACTGCTTTCCTCGCTCTTCTGACTCCGTGCAGAACATTTTCGGCCATCTCCGCGTACTGTTCTCTCACACGCAAGATTTCAAAAGTTGGTGCCTCCTCCGTTTGTGTTACAATCCGATTGCTATCGGTGCTTCGAAATGGGACGCACAGAAACGTACTAATACTATATGTCCGCCTTGGAGGCGCGCGTCCGACCCGAACATATGGTATACCCATCTTGTAGTATATCGTTTCCCGAGCGGTGTGGCCAGAAAGCGCCCGCCACGACGCATATACTATACGACCTCTCGGTGCGCACGTCGCCCCTGGGGGGGGGGGGGCGACGCACACGGTATAAGGATGTTGGGGTGACGCCGACGAAATGGTGTTACCGCTGCAGCGTGGGTCTCGTGTTCGGGTCGGCGCTGCGCTCCCGCCGTTCTCAGTGGCGCGATCGCCCCCCATCATTCCCTTGCTCCGCCTTCCCCTGGTCCTCCTGCTCCTCCCGCTCCTTCCAATCCAATTCCTGCTGCTGCTGCTGTTCCTTCTCTTCCCTCTCCTTCCTCATCCTCCTCGTCCTTTTCCTCCTGCTCATCCTCCTGCCCACAACGGCTTCTCGTTATCCTCCTCCTCCTCCTCCTCCTCCTCCTCCTCCTCCTCCTCCTCCTCCTCCTCCTCATCATCAACATCATCATCATCACATCATCGTCAGCATCATCAGCATCATCATCATCATCATCATCAGCTCATCATCATCATCATCATCATCATCATCATCATCATCATCATCATCATCATCATCATCATCATCATCATCATCATCATCATCATCATCATCATCATCATCATCATCATCATCATCATCATCATCATCATCATCATCATCATCATCATCATCATCATCATCATCATCATCCGTCTCCTCCTCCTCCTCCTCCTCCTCCTCCTCCTCCGTGCCTCCGTGCCTCCGTGCCTCGCTCCCTCCCTCCCTCCCTCGATCCCCTTCTTCCTCCACACAACATCCTCCTCATCCTCCTCCTCCAGGCGGAGAGGCAGGAGGAGACGACGAGGATGAAGGGCGAAGACGGCGACGCGGCGAGAGGGGAGGCGCCCCCCCGGGCAAGAGCGCCCCAAGAGGGGACCCAAAGAGGGCCTCGAGACGGCCCCGAGGAGGGCCCAAGAGCGCCCCCCCAAGCGCCCCACGAGGGCTCCAAGAGGAACTGGCTCGGCCTCCGGCGGGGCTGCTGGACACGAGGAGGGAGCGTCTTCTGCGGCACGCCCTACGGGCCTCCAACCCCAGCCGCCCCCTCTCTGGAACCTCCCTCCCCCCCCCCGCCTCGAAAACCTTGAAGGGGCCCTGGGACACACAGTAAACAGACACAAATAACAGGATTCCCTATATTTTCCCATATTTTCTGTGTTGTCGTCTTCCCCCCCACTTCCCATATTTTCCCATATTTTCTGGGAGATCGACGATTAATTGTGTCTGTGTGTTTTTCCCGCCTCGAAAGCCCCCCCCCCTCCTCGGCGAGAATCCCCCCCTCGCCAGGTCGGGACCGTCGTCGTCGCTTGCTGGCGAGTCCGTCGGTCTGGCGGGCGGGCGGGACACGTCGTCGTCGTCATCCTCGTCGTTGTCGAAGTCGTCGTCCTCGTCCTCGTCCTCGTCCTCGTCCTCGTCCTCGTCCTCGTCCTCGTCCTCTTCCTCGTCGTCGACGTCGTCGCCGCCGCAGCCGCCACCGTCGTCCTCCTCGTCGTCGTCGTCGTCGAGTTCGTCGTCGTCGTCGTCCTCGTCGTCGTCGTCACCCTGATCGTCGTCGTCGTCGTCGTCGTCGTCGTTGCCCTCACCGTCGTCGTCGTCGTCGTCGTCGTCGTCATCGTCGTCGTCGTCGTCGTCGTCGTGTGACTGTAGTCGTCGTCGTCGTCGTCGTCGTCGTCGTCGTCGTCGTCGTCGTCGTCGTCGTCGTCGTCGTCGCCGCGGTCGTCCTCACCGTCGTCGTCATCCTCGTCGTCGTCGTCGCGGTCGTCGTCGTCGTCGTCGTCGCCGTCGCCGTCGCCGTGGCCGTCGCCGCCGTCGCCGCCGTCGTTGGCGGGTCTGTCGGTCGGGCGGGCGGGCGCGACACGTCGTCGACATCGTCGTCGCCGTCGCCGTCGTTGTCGACGTCGTGGCATGGTCTTTGTCGTCGGTTGCCGGCTCTGGGGGGGCGCTGGCGCCGGAGGTGGGGGGGGGTTCGAACCCCCCGTCTTTCACTGTGGGAAAAATCGGACCTCCCCCCCGACGTTTGAGGGGGGGTGGTTTGGCCGCGCCCCCCCTCTGATTGCCATTAATACGACGCTCTTCCTGATATGAAGACCCTCCTTCCTGTTTTGATACATAGCCTCCAACATGGCCCCATGAGGGCCAGAGCACCCAAGAGGCCTCAAGAGAGCCCCAGGAGGCTCCCAAGAGGGCCCAGAGAGAGTAGAAAAGGCTTCACAATTTGCCCCAAGATGGCTCCATGAGGCTCCCTGAGGTTTCTAATTTCAACATGGTTGGCCTCCTTGTTTAAGCATATGTTTATGTTTACCTACGCCCCTCCTCAAGACAACTCCCATAGGGCATTCTGGAGAGGCTGGTGAAGGTACGCGAAGCGTCGAACATCACAGGTCTGGTGTGTTTTTAAGCTGAGGAGGGGGGGGGAATCAGGAGGACGACCAGAATCAACCGAAGATGCAACAGCGGAGACGGGGCGCTTTTTCGCGGAAGCCCCGCGCGGAACGCAACCGTGCGACCGCGCATCTACGGTAGCACGCCCCAGAGTCTGGACAGCGAGGGCGCGGATGTGGAAATGGCCGCCGCTCGTGAGAGAGGAGAAAGCTGCCTCCTAGAAGCGCCCGGCCAGCTCCCGCGACCACAGCCGCGAGGCAGAGACAAAGGCAGGGGAGGCGAAGAGCCGGCCAACCGCCTCTGCGAGGCTGCAGTGGAGGCCAGTCCACAAGAAACCTGCAACAAGAGACCCAACCCTGAGATCCCAGGGACATCCATTGATTTTTGTTGGTGTGGGAACTCCACGCTTCCCATCGCGAAACCATCGAAACCCACGAAACCCAGGGCACCCCAGAGGCAAGCAGGGTGTCTCTTGGCATAGGCCTCCACTGTAGACGGCGCTCCGCCTCAGGGAGGCGAGGGGGGACTTCTTGATGTGGTTATCGACAGAACGCCGCACGCCGAGTCTTGGCCAGCGGAGGGCTGCCCGACGCCGGGGCTCCCCATTCGGAGCGTCCTGCGCACGCAGGACGCAGGGCACGAAGTCCGCGGAGGGGCCTGCAGGCACTGCCGGTGTGACGAGACGGACGGAGGACAGGTGGGGGCAAACAAACCTACCTCGCTTGTGAGCAGCCTCGCTTCCAAGAGATACCAAGCGATGCCAAACTACGGCCTGTACTGGTCAGGCCGCTTGACGAGGAGGCGCGTGGTATGACTTGGTTTTGCCTGGAAGCGAAAGCGGGGTAGGTAATTCACGCTCTGAGACAGGTGGGGCACCCGTTCACTTGGGCTTCGCTGTCGCCGGAGGCCAGGGGAACGGGTGGTTGGACGGCACGCCTCAAGGTGGGTGGTTGCCTGGTCGGATGGTTGGTGGTTGAACGGTTGAATGGTTGGTTGGCTGGTGGTTGGTGGTTGAACGGGTGGCTGGTTGGATGGCACGCTCATTGAAGCGGTGACTGGCAGCAAGCTGGAAGGTCAGATAGAGGCCTCCTAGATGGGGTCCGAGGATCGCGCTGCATCAGCGATACATCGGCGATGCATCGGCGATGCATCGGCGATGCATCGGCGATGCAACAGCGATGCATCGGCGACGCATCGGCGACGACCGCGTGGAGAAGATCAGGCTCCGCATCGAGACGCGTCGGCGATGCATCGGCGATGCGGCGCGATCCTCCGACCCCATCTACTCCGACCCCATGTAGGAGGCCCAGATCAGAGGAGCTGCGCCGCTCCGTCGGGCCATCCGGTCAGAACGCTGCGTACCAGCCTGTCGCGTCCCATCCGCAGACGTGCCCCCGCGCACGGCGAGCACCCGTCTTTGACGAGCCACACGCCCAGGCGCGTCCGACTACGTGAGCTGAGCCATGCTCGCGAGAAGCGTGCCCAGCCATCAAATCACCATGACGCTGGAGTAGAAGAAGTAAAACCACCCGAACACTACCTTTTGGCGCTCCGCGCGGAATTCTTGGCTTCGCGCTGGACCCCCCTCCCTGGCGCGCGGAGCGCGCCAGGGGCGGCGCCGGAGGCGCCGCCGGCGGGCCCATAGGCGCGGATCCAAGAAGACCGCGCGGAGCGCCAAGAGATTATGTTTGCGTGGCGTTTCCTTCTTCGAAAGAGACGGCGCGGAGGGGGAGTGCTAGCGGCAAGGAGGTCAGGATCATCTTCCCTCGGTGGAGGCACACCGCCGATGTTGGTCTTGGCGTCAACCCCTAGGCCTTCAAGACCCCCTTCCCCTCGAGGCTAGGGAGCCCACAAAGGACGTACGCGCCCAGCTATGTACATGAACACGTCCCCTCGATCCGCGAGACCGGCCGCGTTCTACGATCGTTTGTGCAATGCGTGCTCTCGAAACCAGCGTGGATTCATGTACATGTACGTCCTTCTTTCGCTCCTGAGAGGCGCCCTTTTCTCCATGACGGCGCGGGCCCACACCAAGGCAGGAGCGCCTGGGCGGCAGACAACGAGCGGGCGGGCGGGCCTCCGACCGCAACACGGCGCGAGCCAGGCGAGGGGCGACGGCCCGCCGTCGGCGCGGTCGCCCACCGCACACCTCACAGCTTGTAGAGGGCCTCCGTGCCGGCCCCCGTGCTGCCGGACGGGCCGAGGCGGGCCTTCCTCCAGGGCAGCACGAGCGCCTCGTGCGACACCTGGCCGGGCTCCGCACGCCCCGAACCCCCCAGGAAGCTGCCCACTCTTGGGTGAAGTCGGGCATGCCCCTCTACAGGAGGAATACCCAAAAATATCCCAAAGATAGTCCAGGGAAGACTTGTCTGCTCTCTCGATCGATATTTGAAAAATACGTAATTATTATTGTCGATGTTATATATACATATATGTTATATATATATATATATCCACGAAACAAAAAAAAAGTGGTGAGAACGGCTGGGGAGGGAGAGCTGGCCCAGAAGGGCCCCCCTGTGCGTGCAGGACTCGTTTCCTTAAGCCCCCTGTCCTGCATGGGGGAGGAAGGGAGGGAGCAGGGGGGAAGAGGAGGCTGACGCTGAGGAGGAGGAGGAGGAGGAAGATCGGGAGGAGTGGGGGCCGTCAGATCACGGCTCGGGAGGAAGAACTGGTCCAGAGGAAGGGCCCCCGTGTACGCTCACCACCCGTCTGCTCTCTCTCTCTCTCTCTCTCTCTCTCTCTCTCCAGGGATGATTTGTCCAAAAACAGCCCCCCCCTTCGACCATTTGGGGATCTGTCCGAGTACATTTGCATCTGCCGCCCCGAACCCCGCCACCCTGCAGGAGGACATGCCCGACCTGCCTCCTGGGGGCGCAGCCTCTGCCCCCGCCCGCCGTCCTCCGCCGGCGGAGCCCCCGACGCCCCCGAAGTCAGGACGTCTGTGCCCGGCGTCGGCCCCCAGAGGTCTCGACCGCTCGCGAGGATCCTCGGACCGCGTGCTGGCCCCGGCGAGGCCCCTGGACACGACCCCGGCGGATGTCATGATCTGCTGATGGGGCTGCCGGGGGGAGAGACACACACTGGGCTGACACACGTCCTAAGGATCGTCGACCCTTCCCCGGGACCGGCTTGTCAACGCTTTTTTATTCGGCGTTTCGGCATTGAGCGAAAACGGGGGAGGGCGTCTGGCTCCGGACCTCTGCTTAGTGCGACTGTTTGCGACAGTGCGTCCTATGATAGGAGACTCCACCTGCTCGAAACAGGCGCCAAAAATCAGCCAAGATCGACTCCAGGGGGGGTGGGAGGGGGGGGGTACGAGGGCCCGCGCCGATCGGCAAAACAACGAATGAAAAACGAACAACTTCTCATCCTGACTCGGGTCTTGAGAGTCCCTGGGCCCGGTGAGCCCCCCGAGGCCGCACAAACCCGAAAACCTCCCGTCATGATTTGTGCTCCTGACTCGAGAGGGGTCCTGGGGCGGCGGCATCGCGGTGCTGCCGCCGGCCTCCCGCTGGCCTCCCCCCGAGGCTTAGGTCGGGCATGTCCCTCTACAGGGGTCAAAAAGTAGTCTGGGGACGATGTTTCGACTATTGTGCACCATTTTTGGATAATTTTGACTATTTTATATTTTCCTCCAACATCCGCCTGTAGGGGGACATGCCCGACCTAAGCCGAGGCAGAGGTTGGAGGCCTGAAAATGGCACTAACGATAAAACAGGGGGCTGCCTCCACCTAGACTCTGGTGTTGGTGGCACTCCTTCGGCCACCATGGAAGCCCAACTATTACCACCATCACCGAGATCGGGATCATCTTCCCTCGGTGGGAGCACACCGCCGATATTGGTGTTGGTGTCAACCTCTAGGCCTCCGAAGTGGTGACAAGTCCTGCGACCCCTCTTGGAGTCGAGGAACTTCCTCGAACCCAGACCCCCGACTTCATGAACTGTTCATGACGTCAAACCCCCAGAGGTCTCGACCCGTTCCCCATGACCACTCTGTCATCCTGTGTCGTTTCCTGACGGCCCCGAGGCCCGGCAGGGGCCCCCAGAGGCCAAAAACAGCGAAAAAACTCCCGTCGTGATCTTCTCATGACTCGAGGGGGTCTATGTGCACGGTTTCCCCCACCGTAGGCGACTCGAGGAGGAGGAGGAGGAGGAGGAAGAGGAGGAGGAGGAGGAGGAGGAGGAGGAGGAGGAGGGGAGGAGAGGAGGGGGAGCGGGAGATGGGGGGGGAGGAGGAGGGGAGGAGAGGAGGAGGAGGAGGTAGAGGAAGGAGGAGGAGGGCGGAGGGAGGAGGAGGAGGAGGAAGGATGGAGGAGGAGGAGGAGGAGGAGAGAGGATGAGGAGGAGGGGGAGGGGGAGGAGTTGAGTAGGGAGGAGGAGGAGGAGGAACAGTCGGAGGCGGAGGAGGAGGAGGAGGAGGACGAGGAGGAGGAGAAGGAGAAGGAGGACGGGTGGCCTGAGCCCTTCGGAAAAACCCTCCAGGGCTATCTAGCAGCGCCCCGCCTCCAGCGGCGCCCGGGCCAGCGCCGGCGCGGAGCCCCCCGGGCGGTCGGCGCGGCGCGCGGAGGTCACGGCCGGGAAGCCGCCGCGGGCGCTGCCGCGCGGGCTGGGGGTCCTGGGCGCCTCGCGCGGGCTCGGCGGCGCCCCGGCGGGCGCGCTCGCCTCTGTCGGCACGAGTGGGGGAAGGCCAACAGAGTGCTGAAGGTCTGCAGCAGTTTACTGAGCAGGGACCGACCGTCCCGGCATTCCTATAGTCCTACCACGAAATGTTCTTAGAACCCAAACATGTTCTAAGAACAAAAACAATGTGCTTAGAACATAAACCCAATGTGATAAAACAAGACAGTGCCAGCCAGAAATGTTCTAAGAACATTTCGTGGAAACCACAAACGCTTCGCCACTGCTTCGCCAGGACGCTTCGCCACTGCTTGAGTTTAATCTCGCACCTTTAGCTGTCAGGAGGGACATCGCCGTGCTCGGGGTGATTCACAGGACTGTGCTCGGCGTCGGCCCCTCCGTCTTTTCTCGCTCCTTCCGCGTCGGGGATCTTCTTGGCGGCGCGCACAAGGGGGTGGGGGGAGGGGGGGGCCTCCTAGAATTTAAGTCGGGCGTGTCCCCCTACAGGGGGATGTTCAACGAGAAAAAAAGAATACTCCAAAAATGCTCAAAACATACCCAAAAGTACTCAAAAAAATAATCCCCATACTATTTGTTTGGCTATATTTTTGAACATCCCCCCTGTAGAGGGACAGGCCCGCCTTAATCTTGGAAGGAGGCTGCTTCTTAGAAGGCGCCGGCCTTACATGTAGAGCTACGGCCCGCGCCTTCTGAGAAGCAGGGGTGCTTCTAAGAGGCCCTCCTCCCCCCTCCTCCCACCCCCCTCTGCGCGTGGCTGACCTCCTGTCGGGGATCTTCTGACCCGGGTCAATCCAGGCCCGGGGGTCAGTCAGGCTTTGCAGAGTCCTGCACGATCCTGCAAGATCCTGCCCCCAAACCTGGGACAGTGAAGGATCCTGCTGCAAGAGCCTGCAGGATCCTGCACCCAAGCCCGGGTCAATGCGACCCTGGCCCTGTAGGATCCTGCAAGATCGGGCGCTCTGGCTGACCCCCATTTGCATTGACCTCCGTCCTGTGAGCCCCGACTCTGGAGGCGGGCGGTACACCGGTGTGACCTGGATGGAGAAGGCATGCCCGGACCCCCGAGGAGTTTTTCGCCACTTTCGGCCTCCGGAGGCCCTTCCTGGGCCTCGGGACTGTCAAAGAACGACTCAGGATGAGAAACCAGTCCCAGGGAAGGGGTCCAGACCTCTGGGCGTCGGCGTTGCGACAAAAAACACGACGTCGGGGGCCGACCCGTATCAGAAGGACGCACGATAAGGATACAAGCAAGGGCCTCGGACGCCCATTCCGATGCTTCTCGAGCGGGGCGCGGCCAACGAGAGTGGCCAGGGACGGACCGAGAAGGCAAGGATGCGAGGGTACCCGTGGGAAAGTTGCCCATCCTTACCGTGCGGGTTGACTGTAATGGGGGGTGACCTGCATGGAGGATGGAGAGAAGGGTCCTTTCAGCATCTGTCTGGCTCACATCGGCGACACGCAAGAGTGACCCTAAGCAAGAATGACCTTTGGTGCGCGGCTTAACGGGGGAGGCGGGCTGGCCAAACCTAGGCGCGCAAGCCGCTGCTGCCGCATCACGTTCGGCGATCGGGGGACCCACCTTGGGCCCCCACCAAAGGTCACTCTGGCGAAAGGTCACTCTTACGTCTAGTCGATAAGAATGACCTTTCGCCGGAGTGACCTTTGGCGCGGGCCCAAAAGGCTCCCCCGATCGCTGAGCGCGAAGCGGTAGCAGCGGCTTGCGCGCCTGGGTCTGGCCACCCCGCGTCCCTCTAGAAGCCGCGCACCAAAGGTCGCTCTTACCCAGGGTCACTCAGACGTGTGTAGGGGAACAAAGAGTGGCATAAACATAAAAACTCGGAGGTCCGCGCGGATTTCTCAGATCGGCGCTGGTGCCCCCCGGTGGAGCCTCTGGCGCCGCCCCTGGCGTACTCCGCGCGCCAGGGAGGGGGGTCCAGCGCCGATCCGAGAAATCCGCGCGGACCTCCGAGTTTTTATGTTCATGCCACTTTTGTTCCGCTAAAGGTCGCTCTTGCCCAGGGTCACTCAGACGTGCAGCCAGAGGTCCGCAGTTCGAGCTCCACCCGACTCCACCGGCCGCGTGCGGACAGGGACGAAGAGGCTACCGGGTCGAAGGCACGCCTCGGCTGCCCCGGGCCCGCGCGGCTCTCACTCGGGGGGGCCCACGGGGGCCCTCGCGAGGAGACATTGCGCGGCCCCTCTTGGAGCCAGCAGGGGTCCAAAAGGAACCCCGAAAGGTCCGCCTCAGGCCTTAGGGAGCATCGTTCAACCGATCCCCATCCCCACCAGCGTGGGCTGGGCCCTGCTGGCCGATTTACCCCCCTGATAGGGGATATGGGCTGCTCTCTTCGGGTTTCAAGGGGCATATCCCCAACTGAGGTGGTGAGACGGTGGGGCTCGAGATGTGGATGGGGATGGGGATAGGGATCACTTAAACGATACTGCATTAAGGCCCTTCTTCGCCCCCCCGTGTAGGTCACCCCACACCTGGGGAAACCAAGCGGACCAACACCGCTACTCCCAGGACCTCTCCCGGGGTGCGTCCTGACCGGGATGTCGAGGCGAAGCCAGCGGTGGCGACGAGGGCCTACCAGGAGGCCCACCAAAGGGAGAAAGGAGGGAATGGTAGAGGTATGGGTACCTTTTCCTCCTCTGACGTCATGATTTGTTCATGACGTCGACCCCATTCCCCATGACCGGTTTTTCATCCGGACTCGTCTTTTAAAAGTCCCGAGGCCCGGTAGGGGGCCCCCGGAGGCCGAAAATGGCGAGAAGCCTCCCGTCGTGACTTGTGCCCCAGCTCGAGGGGGTCTGGATTACCCCCCGCCCGGTCCTCGCGGGCGCCCCCGAGGCACCGGCAGAGGCGGCGGAGGCCGGCGAAGCGCGGCGGCAGCCCGCGCTCCTCGCGGAGCGCGGGCGCCCCGCGGCCCTCGGCGGGGGGCGGCGCCGGCACCATCTCGGGCCCGCTCCGCGGGGGGGTGGGGCAGCCCCCCCGTGGTAGAGCGACAGGCCTCTAGAGGTTGACACCAACACCAATATCGGCGGCGTGCCTCCACCGACGGAAGAGGATCCCGGTCTCGGCGATGGTGGTAATAGTCTGGCTGCCAAGGTGGCCGACGTATTACCACCAACGCCGAAGTCTAGGATCATCTTCCCCCTGTGGAGGCAAACCCCTTGTGTTGGTGTTGGTGCCCGTTTCCAGGCCTCCAGTAGAGGCCTCCCAGATGGGGTCGGAGTAGATGGGGTCGGAGGATCGCGCCGCAGTGGCGACGCCTCGGCGATGCATCGTGGACGTGGGCGAGGCATCGGCGACGTCGACGTGCCGCAAATCGGGCTCCGCTTCGAGCCGCATAGGCGACGCATCGGCGATGCGGCGCGATCCCCCGACCCCATCTGCTCCGACCCCATCTAGGAGCGGAGGGCGGGCTGCCCGGTGGCACGCGCGCCGGAGAGCCCCGGGTCGGCGACTCCTAAGGGTGTGCCCAGTGCCCCCCCCCCTCGAGGCATGGGAAGAATTCCCGACGGGAGGTGAAGCGCTACCTTTGGACTCCCTGGGAGCCTCGCCGGGCCCTGAGACCGTCATACAGCGACGCGAGTCGCAGTTCGACGGGGCCGGTTTTCCATCTGGTGCTGACAGCTGGATGACAAACCTAGGTGGCGACATCCGAACCCCACCCCTACCAACCATCGGTTTTCCTGAGTCGATGAGAGGCGGGGGTACGGTTCGGATTTCGCAAACTGTTCGACGAATTTCAAAACCCTATACCCGCCGCCCATCGAGTTGTCTGAACCGTTGATCCGCGAAGGTAGGGTTCGGATTTTGCCGGCGAAAACCGGTCCCGTGGAAGGGGTCCAGACCACGTCGGGGTTCTGGGCACCCAGCGTCTCGTTAAAAGAAACGGGACGGAAGTTGTTCTTCGTCTTTGCGGCCTCTCGGGGCCCTCACCAGGCCTCGGGACCGTCTAAAAACGACTGGGGCTGAGAAGCCGGCCCAGGGGAAGTGGTCCAGAGGTCGAGGGTTTACGTCTCGAAAAAATCGAGGCGCCGGACGTCCGGGAAGGGTGCGGTTTGCACTCCGCGCCCGGGAAGCGGGCGTGGAACTCGACGGAAGTCTCTGCCGCGCCCCGACCAGGGCTCATCAAACAACCTCGGCGCAACGCTGTGACCCCTGAGCCCCCAACGGCGCCGATCGCAAGACCGCATTTTTTCTTTTGCGGCCATAACGGGCGCTATATGGGGGGGGCGGGTTACCCCTGGGCCGTAGGCGACCCGAGGAGCGGAGGGCGAGGAGGGGAAGGAGGAGGAGGAGGAGGAGGAGGAGGAGGTGGAAGAGGGATACTCACTATCCACTACTCACTACCCACCACCCACTACTCGCTACTCACTACTCCCTACTCGCTACTCACCACTCACTACTCACTCCTCGCTACCCACTACTCAATACTCAGTACTCACTACTCACTAATCACTACTCGCCACCCACTACTCACTACCCACTACTCACTACTCCCTACTCACTACTCACTAATCACGATTCATTACCCACTATCCACTACTCACTACGAACTACTCATTGCCCACAAATCACTACTCACTACCCACTACTCGCTACTCGCTACTCCCTACTCCCTACACAATACTGACTACACAGTACTCAGTACTCACTAGTCGCTACTCCCATACTCGAATCTCAACACTCACTACTCACTCCCCGCTACTCACTATTCACTACTCACTACTTACTACTCCCTACTCACTAGTCACTACATAGTCTCTAGTCACTAGTCACAACTCACTGGTCACTAGTCACCAGTCACTCCTCACTACCCACTAATCACAAATCGCTACTCACGACCCACGATTCGCTACCCACTTCTAACTACTCACTGCTCACTACTCCCTACTTCGTACTCCCTACTCACTACTCACTACTCACTACTCGCAACTCCCTACTCGCTACTCACTAATCACTACCTACTACTCACTACTGACTACTCTACTCACTACTCACTACTCAATGCGCCCTACTCGCTCCTCACTACTCACTACTCGCTACTCCCTACTGGCTACTCACTACTCACTACCCACTGCCACTACCCACTACTCTCTATTCATCACTAC